CGTGTTCTCGACCTTGCCGCGCCCAAGGGGCCCAGCCGTCTCCCCCTGCGGCCCTAAGCCGGGACCGCGCGTGGCAGCGGGAGAACTTAGCAGTAGCTCCGGGTTTCGGGGACTGGGGACACTTTCGTGCAGGCATAAAAGTCCGCTGGAAAAAAAAACTGCAAGTTCGGTGGTTCGCGGCTGGCTTGTCACGAGGCAAAGGGCGCTGCTGGCCTGGACAATGCCGTTGGTACAAACCATGATGACATGACATCTCAAGCCTCCACCATCATAAATGTACTTCTCAAACCCCCGAGAATCATGTTCGAACGAGGGCTCAGAACCATTTTGACGTAGCCCGCGTTTCCCTCTTCTTAAAGCAGTTGCATGTGATGACCAACTGCAAAGCGCAGTTGATCGTTTTCATTTTCTTCCCCGCATTGTTGCGTTTGCACTTTGAGCAAGAAAAAACGTGGCTCAGCTTCATTTGCTGTCAGCTTATGGTAAGGCATGGCGAGCACTCCCATGGTTGCACATGCTACTACATGTTCATATGAAAGAAAGACATTGCGGGTATGTCTCCGTAACAACATCATGGGGTTTGTATGGCCGATAAAGCACTTCTCTCCCAGTGCGTTTCCTTGTTGACACGTGGGGCACATGGTGCCTCAATCCAAAGAAGGCGCTCCATGTGCGTGGTCGCCCGTTAATTCGACACCTTTGTGGCATTTGGCAACATTGGCTTTGAACTGCGTCACGGCAGTCTCCGACTTAACATGTCTGCTGAATGGTCATGTAGGTTTGTGTTGCCGCAGAAGCCGGAAAGGGCTAGCCAACATCTAGTAGCTTGGCTCAGGTCAGTGCGCCGTCATTGTCCCGTCAGTGTCCCGAACATGTTTCAACGCCTGGGCCTTCTTGCCGTTTTGGGAGGTGAGCTCTGATATCCTTGAGAACCGGCAAGCCCAGGTTGAAAGTCTCTGCATGCCTTAGGCCTCAGCTGCGAAGGCCGTTGCTCTTGCATGCTTTGGCTATCTTTCGCATTGTAAGGCTTGATATGATGTGCCATGTGTTGAGTTTCCATCACCTGCGGCTGATTTGGCTCACAACGCTGTGGCGCTCACAGAGGCAGCCTCAAATTCCCACGAGGGGTACATCCGCTGAGGCGCGTCGTCCGCTACGTTTTATCTAGCATACATGATTATGAAAGCTAGGCGTCGCATTGCTCTCATTTGTTACGTTGCTGCAGGACACCATTTTGGCAAAACATGGCTGACGAGGAGGGGGCACAGTCGCGCCGTGGGAAATCATAACAAAACAAGCTTGAAACAGGGTAGGGTTGCAAGTTGATCATCGGATTTGCTCTTTCAACTCGACCTGCGTGGCAATGCGAGATAATGCGAGGATCTGCCTGACTTCGACGAGGAGGAGAACAAGAAGGAGGAAGAAAAGGCTGGCAAACCACGAAGATGAGAACCTAGAAGTCGTTTCTTTGGCGTTGCGTATTGGTGCAAGGTGTTCTAGTAGACATCTTTTTTTGATGAATTTCCTATTTGGTCATAGCTTAGCTGACACAAGCAAGCTCACCAGGTGTCGGTAAGAATCAGGTAGCCAGGAGGGAAGTCGTGGTAATGCTTGCGTCGAACAGGCTAATGGAGATGCCAAGAAGGCATCAGCCGCTGGCATGCACGCGCTGTGCCCTCAGTTGCGAACTGCAGACCCGCACAAAACTAAAGCATTGGATTGTTTCACGCAGGTCTGGCTTCAAGGACTTCTTGCTTAAACCAGAACTCCTCCGCGCCATTGTCGACTGTGGCTTTGAGCACCCCTCGGAGGTGCTTATCTCTAGAGCCAGCTTCTTGCGAAGAGCTTGCGGTGCAGCTTTTTGTTGATTAGAACTGCGTATGGCAAATCCGGGATATTGGCATTCGATCAGTGTCGAGCTAGGTGCAGCATGAGTGCATTCCCCAGGCCAGGAGAGTCAGTAGCATGTGATCAAGATGGGTTGCCTTAAGATTTGGAGTTTTGCCGCTGTGCCCTGCAGGCCATTCTGGGAACCGATGTCCTATGTCAAGCCAAGTGACTGGATTGCACCACATGACTGCACGCATAGACACAGATGCAAACAGAGCTTTTGGCTCTAAATGTGGTTTGCTGTGCTTGGCGAGGTCTGGCATGGGGAAGACAGCTGTGTTCGTCTTAGCTTGTCTGCAGCAGATCGATTCTTCAGAGAAGGCCATTCAAGGGAAAACTTGTGCGTGAATCCATCCCGCACCTGCGCCATGGACTAGCTACAGTTTCGCCATGATTCCTTGGCAGGCTGTGAGGACTTTGGTGGTCTGCCACACGCGAGAATTGGCTTACCAGGCAGGACGATTGCGTGCTTGGTTTCTGTGGACTTTGTCGTGCTGCAGACGTAACCGACGTGCAGTCACATTCCCTGCCCAGATCAAGCAAGAGTTTGAGCGTTTCTCGAAGTACTTCCCGGTTCGACTCTCAGAAGTTGCGAAACCCAGCCCGACTTCAGGCGCAGCGCGAGGCCATCTTGTCCACGGTAGGGTTAAAGATGATGCAACGTTTGGACAAGATGTGTGACTTGGATCGTGTAAGGCAATCAAGTCCGCAGTGGTTTATGGTGGCACGCCCATAGCGACGGACAAAGACATGCTGAAGGCTGCTCTGGTGCAGCTGCATGTTTTCCGGTCTGTCTTTGTTATGGACAGGACTCCTGTCCCCACATCCTCATTGGCACGCCTGGACGCGTGCTTGGCCTTGTGCGGGAGAAGGTGGCGCAGAAGGCATGCTCTCCCTTCAGTAGGCATCGGATGTCTCGTGTTAGGACTTGAAGTTGGACAAGTTGCAACACTTCGTCTTGGATGAGTGCGACAAGTGCTTGGACAAGGTGGACATGCGAAAGGACTTTTATGATTTCTTTTTTGTGGTGACCTTGTCGTGCCTCATCAGACTTATCAGCGCTTGCTCTTCTGCTGAAATCTGGCGGGCTCCTTCATAAGAGTTTGTGTCCCGTGTTTACACGTGTCTGCGCCCATAGTTTAACTTCAGGATGTCCAGCAGATCTTCATGGATTCGCCAAAGAAGAAGCAGGCCACACAATTTTGTAGCGGCAAAGCGGTCGACATGAAGGAACTGCTGTCTGCAGTGCCGATCAGGTCATGATGTTCAGTGCCACAATGAGTGCGGAAACGCGGGCGCTTTGCAAAAAGTGACTGGGCTCACTGAATTCAAGGGGAAGATGTCGCCTCTGCAGCTGAATCGTTTTAAAGTCAAATGCTTGATGTGTTAGAATGCCTTGTCCTATGCGGCAGCGTGTGGTATCCCAAGGTTTATGACCGACCCCCACGAGATTCGCGTGGACGAGGAATCCAAGCTCACGCTGCATGGACTGCTGCAGTACTACGTGTCCAGCCTTCATTGGGACGTAACGGCGTAGCATGGCCTAGCTGTGTTGTATTTGCAAGTATTTTCTTGGTATACAGGTCAAGCTCACGGAGAAGGAGAAGAACAGAAAACTCAACGACTTGCTGGACGCTCTGGAGTTCAACCAGGCCCCACTTTCTTGTCGATATGTGCTGAGTCCCGTGAGCGCTGCAAAGATCTGACAAATCAGCTGCATGCCGGAAGGTGGTCATTTTTGTAAAGTCCGTGCAGAGAGCTATAGCGTTGGACAAGCTGCTAGTCCGTGCCCTATCCCGGCCATGTCCACCATAGTTAGGGCTTACATCTTTGCCATGGCAGTTGTTACTCGGCCTTGTTTACTTGGCAGTTTTTACCCCACGACGAGGTGGAATGCAACTTCCCGTCTATTTCGATTCACTCCGGCCTGCAACAGGACGAGCGAATTGCAAGGCCGACAACGTTGAGTCGTAGCAGCGCAATGTGGGCTACATTTTTTTTTTGTGATGCGAAACGGTGCTTTCAGCTACAGGTAAAGTGCAGGAAGTGCAGAAAAGGGGGGGGTGGGACAGCCATGGTCGTAGCCGGCTTTTGACCTGTTCCCTGTGTATTTACGCAGGGGTTCTTGTCGCACTGACAGGTACAAGCAGTTCAAAGAGTTTCAGAAGCGGATTCTGGTTGCAACAGATCTCTTTGGCCGTGGTATCGACATTGAGAGAGACGCTCGTCTCAAGAAGCTTCAGGACCTGTAACTCGCAGTTTGCATTTTTCTCAGCTTCACTTCTTCCTCTTATTCCATCACGTGCAGTAAGCACATGCAGGAGTACGCATGAGCAACAAGCTTGCGCCAGGTGAACATTGTCATCAACTATGACATGCCTGAAGAGAGTGACTCGTACTTGCGGCTTTGAAGCATTGTCGCCCATGGTACCGTAGACCCAACTTTCAATGGCATCTTACCTACGTTTTTGTTTCATGTTACCCTGCGGCCGTGATGATCATTTCATGGTCTTTTGGCATTGTTCTTGCTGAGCTGCGGCTGGCGGTCTACTCTCATCAGCAATTTTTTGTGCACCGATGAAGTGCATAGGATGTGTTCAATCTCAGACTTTTGTTTGGTGCAGGGGGAAAGGACAAACATGATCCTAGCGATGACGGCACAGAAACAGCACCATGGTCAGGACAATGGTTTGTAATAGTGATCTTGCATGAAACATCATCAAACCAACCCACCTCCGCCCAAAAACATTGCAGCATCCTCGACTTCATGGATGTTGCACTTCAGTGAGACGTCGGTTACCACGAGCACAACAACATTTTCAATTCTTGAGGGCAGATATGAAGACCTGGAAGACGACTGATCTGAAGCGCAAATCTTTTGAGACCCAAACTGCTTTCATTGAATAATAGTAAACAAGAATAGGCATAGTAATCAGAGGAATAGTAGGAGTTATAGTGATAACAGTGCGGAGTCTGAGCAATAACAGTAAGCAATCCTCGTGATACTAGTAGTCATAGTAATTATAGTAATGCTACTAGTAATCATAGCAATCAGAGTTTTCAAGGGTCAGTTTTCCCTGACATTCTTCGTTGCTAACATTTGGTATTTGCATAGAGATTCTGTATAAAAGCCCGGTATCTTGCATCTCAGCTACCTCATCATGATGGATAAAGGTCTATTTTGGGGTTGCCTTGGTGGACGGTATTGTGGTTTCTAGCTAGCCCACTTCAAAACGTTTCAGTACAACAGTGGTAAACTCCATTCCTGGAGAATTTTGATTTTGTGTTCAGTATGAGTGCCATGGTCTATGTATTCATGTGTGAATGTATCAGAGAGGGGGTCCATCTACTCATAATCATAGGATCCTTTATATTCGACAACCCAACAAAGCACCGAGCATGTTTATCAACTTGAGCCTGGTAAGCAGACGAGGGACGATGTGTTCATTTAAGAGAATATCTCGCCGGCCCTATGTTGCAGAATATGATTATCTCCTACTCCACAAAACTTGCTAGCCCTCAAATTGGTAGAGTCATGTATGCATATATCTATGAATATACATATCTGCCACTTGCTCATTCTTGATATATTTTAGAATTTTTCACGCATCCTCATGTGGCGTTTCTCATGTGCTTCTATGCATGTATTGAGTTTGGCAGGCATGTGTGTACATTGATCATTCAATGCTCCACGCAATCTGCCA